GGTAGCACGTGGAGAGGAGGGAATAATTCAGTCTTATTCTGGATTATTGTATGTAAGGTTCATTAATTTGTTTAATGATGCAGAAAAAAAAGAATTTTTGTATTGCTCTGGTTTTTTACTGTTCTTTATAGTCACATACGTGGCCGGTTGATATCGATCATTTTTGGGATAGGCAGGAGCAGGTCAGTATCCATACCAATGTTGGGCGGCGTCTGCGCGTCGTGTGTTAATCAGTGGTTATTTTTTTAATATTCTAATACATTTTAATTTTTTTTAATATTTTAACCAATGTTAATTCACGCCAATTTTGGTTATTTTTTTTAGTTTTTCGATTGAATTCAACACATTGAATCGCATAAAGTGTCATTTGAATTGAATACATTATTCTTTATTTATGACTTTTTAAGTTAGTTAAGATTTTTCATTGGTTTTTGGTTGATTCTATTAAAAAATTTCGCAATGGATTTGCGGTTTTTTTTTTGTCATTGAAAATGTTCGATAGAAAATATTGTGTAGAAAAAAAGCTGTTAAAATTGAGATATCTATGTGAAGTTTTTCTATAGAAATTCCGCACCTCCAATTTCCCGAGTTTTTTCGTTGATTTTTTTTTCGATTTGTTCAATAAAAATCCAATAGAATTTCCTATCGAATTCGTTACGGTTTTCTATGAAATTTTATCGTGCGTGAATCCCTATTCACAATAGACCAGGTTAATTGAAATAATTCGAAACGTAATAGTCTCACAATACTGCAATTTTAGCTAAATAAAAATTCCTTGACGGCAGTAATATAATTTACCTCTAAAGTTTCCCACAAAAACTCTCGCCCTTCTTTCCCCATACAGGAAGAGTAGCAAACTTGGCCACTAGCAATGCGAGAAGATGTAATATATTCTGGGAAACGCACAGTTGATTGCACCGACTGAAACTGTTGAATATTTACAAGATCAGTCGTTGATGTCGATTTTTCAGTGTGTTCTGTATCATTCAACGATTGAGAATGAGAGGGAAAAAAATGAAGGCGCGGCCAATGAAACGAGTAGTTTTGATATTTACTGTTGGCAATGGGTTTTCGCCTGGGGATGGTCTTAATCTGTCCGGCCGCCTCTCGTCGATGATCCTTGGGTGTGATTATCAATTAGCTTCGGCGCTGTGTTATTATTAGAGCGCATTAATGGCGTCACACCGAGACTGAGTTATGGGCCGCATATACCCTGCGGGTGGTTATCCGTTACGCTCCCTAGAATACATACGGTGCGTAATGCATTGTTAGTCACGGCAATCTTGTGGCTACGCCAGTGGCTTGTTTTTTTTCCACTCGAGATATCTCAATACGAATCTTTATCATTGATGACCGTTACTTCTGGTTTTGACATCTTCAGTCATTTTGTATGTCTCAGTTGATACGTGGGGAGATGCGATCGGTGGAATTGCTTTGTTGGATTTATTTTTTTGTTGACATTGTCCTTCCGGGCTGTTGAAAAATGGGAATTGAACAGAAGAGTGATATAGACTGCAGTTTGGGGAGAAATGGGATAAAACTTTTACAATCTACAGAGAAAAAAGTGCTGATTTTCAGGAACTTATCACTGATTTTCAGAAATCTATTAGCAAAGAATGGGGATCTTGATAAATTAGTGATGATGTCACTGGAAATTAATGTTAATGTCTGTAAAAATTGGTGACAAAATCACAAAATTTCTGAATTTCGTACTCGTGAATCCTTAAGGGTATTCAACTTCGGCTATTTTTTCTCCAGTGAAATGCTTTCCTACTTTTACAGTCGAACATCATAGCTTTCATTTGAGCCCCATTTGACTCAGAGTTTCCGGAAATTTGACAATGATTTTATTATTTAAATTTTGTAGGTCTGAATTTTAATCTCGATATTGAACCGTCAGAAAACATTTAAAAAATCGGCAAAAAAAAAAATTAGAAAGTTTACTTTTGAAGGAAGATTGATGAAATAATTTCAAGAGTGCAATCTTTTAAAATTATGAACATTTTTTATAAATAATTTATAAACAATGAATGCTTTCAAAAAATCATAGTTCTGTGCAAAATAGGATTTGAATGACGCTGAATATTCATGATTTTTTTCAAAATTTTCTCACGCAATTTATTTGACAAATTTGATCATTGAAAATGGTTAATTCTATGGGGTGAATCTAGTAATTAAGTATCCTTAATATACAATAAAAAAAAGTATCTTTATGTCGCGCCGTGCAATAAGTCGAGTTTCTGCACGACTTGACATAAAATATTATAGAGCACTCGGTAATAAATTTCGTTTTCAACGAATGTGTGTACAGACCTCGCCTTCGGCTCGGCCTGTAAACTACACATTCGTTGAAAACGAAATTTGTGCCCTTGTACTCTAATGTACTATTAATAATTGGGAACGGATGGCTGAAGATCAGTGACATGTCCCTGAAACTCAAAACTTTTGTCTCTCTGCGTTACTAAAATTTTCAGGTAATTTAAAATTCAAGAATATCAGCAGCTAAATTTTTCTAATTTTTGCTGAAGGCTGTGAAGGATGTTTCATTGAATTTTCCAGCGCATTATATTCCCCTAAATTTCAAGCAATTTCGTCATTGAAAATTGAAATTTCATGGAAAATTTCAATGAAAACTGTAAATTTTACTTCAATTGCTCCATGAAAATGAATAGAAATCAGGAAAACACTGGTAAGAATTTAATGTTTTGCTTGAAAATTCGCTTAATTTAAGAGATTGTCATTTTCCTGTAGCTTCAAAATTTTGAATTCCATCTAATGGTTAGCGAAAGCTGAAATTTCATCATTTTGTTCTTCCTAAATCGAATTCAACGTCACTTTCCTAAAAACTGCTATTCAACTGTCTGTGAAATATCCTTTTTTTTCTAGCACTGAATGATTGAACTGGAATTTATAGTTCCCATTGTTTGCCTCAGCCAATGTTATCTATTCAATGCTCTAGAGTGCAGTATTTTTAGCCTGAAGTTGCTTTTTATCAAGAATTCCTCTCCACATAAATTGTGAATATCAGAAGAATAATTTCCGTTGAAATTGTTGTGTTGAATATACTTTCATATAGTTACAACTGATGGCTTGTCGGTATTGATGTAAGCTGCGGTCTCATCTGCGCCAATAGTGAGATATGGCCGTGTTAATTTCCGCAGAATCAAGAGCACAAGCGTGACGCTTATGGGACTATGATTGAATACGTTGCGAGAAATACACCACACCCTGCAGTGAGATAGATATTGATTCTGTTTTGCCGTGATGATAAAATCCATTATGCTGATCGACAGCCGTTGATTGAAGATAACAGTGCATTCAAAATACTGATTTATCGGGGATGAAAAATGGAATATCGGGTAGAGTAGCGGGTGAACGAACGGAGGATTTTTTAATTAAATTCTCGCGCTAGGCCCTCCTTTGATTCCCTTCATGTTCAATCGTATTTCGGTCTCTTTGACGTGATATTTAATAGGAATTTGTAGGTTGGAGGATGATATCGACTGACAGCCATTAATTAATGAGCTCATGAATTTTAGAGGAAATCATTCCGACGTTTTTCGTTCAGTTTCAAATAAAAATTCATTCTTATTTTACGAAAAATTTACTAATTAGTTTTAGCCGAAAATATCTCTAAATTTATTTCAATATCAATACAAGAATGTCAAAACATTTCATAATAATTGATCGATTAAAATCCGAATCAATTCCAAAATATCAGTAATAATAAATGGGAGTCAGTTCATGTTAATCAATGTATATTAATTTGTTGCAGTTTCATTGAAATTTCAAGCGACGTTTTTGAAATATGGAATATTCCTACAATTATATTCAAGCGGAAAACGGATGGTACATCCATTTTTGATGGAAGAAGAATTATCGAACAAAATATTTGACATTTCACTCGATTATTTCCTTTCTCAATGTCAAACATCAACATCAACTCGAACTAGTCGCAAGTATTCATCCATCCATTATCATCGACCAAATCAATGTCCCAATGGGAAGATGAATAGAAAGTGAACAATGAAAACAATCATGTACATCCGAATAAATTGAGTTACTTATACGTTCGCTGAGTTCTGTTGTGTCTTAAAATTTTATTTTGAGACATTAACAATGACTTAGATTTGGGGTGGGGGGTGGGTAAGGGGGGGGGGGTGCATTCGGAATTCCAAGCCAAAAAAACGGAGTCGGTGAGTTTTTCAAAAATATCTCCGAAACTAAGGGAGATAGGAAGCCAAAAAACGGAGGATATCCCCTATAAAAGGGTCCCCTATAAAAGGGGACCTTTCTATCCGTCTCTATTTTTTCAGCCGTAATGCCCCGAGTGCTCCAAACGTGTCGAAAATTTTGCGATATTTTTGTTGCATAGCAACGAGAGGAAGAAGTTTTGCAAAAATTTCCCGATCGTTGATATGCCAGAAAACTTGAGCAAAATTTTCTACAATTTTGGACCACAAGGGGCATTCATTTGGATTATTCCCCCCATCTGAATGTCAATGCCTAGCATACATGACTATGCAACTATGGTATCATACTATAGGGAATCCAATTATCGGAAGTAGTCGTGGTTACTTTTGGCCTTTGGTTAGTGGAACTGCTTCCGATTCTCACAAATTACGATTGTAGAAATCACCATGATCTTATGTACTGCATACAAAAAATTATAGTATCCGTTACACAATAAGCATCAACTAAATTTTTTTGTTACCCGAACTTTCGAATCAAACTTTTCTCTCAGTCTAGTAGATAAATTACTCGAATTAACCCACGCGATAAACAATCCTCAATTCCCCAATTACTTTTCTCCCTCCAAAACATTCCGTCAAAAGTACAAAAAAAATTTAATTCCCTTGTTGGATCAACTCCAACTAGTCACAAGTATTCTATCCATTATAATCCATTATCATCGATCGAAACAATGTACCAATGGGACGCTGAATAGAAAGTCAACAATCAAAACAATCATGTACATCCGAATAAATTGAGTTACTTACACGTTGGCCGAGTCCTGTTGGGTCTTGTCAGCGGGATCCATGGTCTCTGCGGTGGATGATTCGCTGTTACTGAAACCATACAAGCGAACAAACGTCAATTATCGTTACACCAGTTCTGTTACTCAACCATCTAGTTACCCAGTTAAATTGTTACTCCACATTTTCGGAAAACTAGCAGTGTGGAATCAGGGGAAAGCACGTAACGAGATATTACCGCATCAACACAATGCAGCTGAATCATTTAAAACCAACGTTGTTCCCCGTACAATTGAATTTTCAGTCTATTTTCATTGGAATTTTAGTAATTCAATTAAACGCTCTCGCGAGAATATTCCCGTCGCCCCTTTCCTCTCTACCAACTAAATGCGTGGGAGAACGTGCCGTGAATTTCGACGAATGAGAATGAATTACGCAGGGCGCATTATCCGATAATAAATCCCGTGCATTGGAAATTACCATAAGCCCCCACTCACGTATTGACAAAAAAGCAATATCTAAAAGCAAAAAAAAGTCGAATTTTAATTCATAAAAATTATAATGCTCTCAACCGAGAGCTTCAACTTCATCGTGAGAACGATACAGTTTATGCCATAATAATCCCTTGTCACGCGATGCCCAACAAACCCCCTGGTATTATCCCCTTGGAAGCACTTACGTTCTCATTTTCATGAAAATAGGGTAGACAAATTTCAGTTCTTAATTTTCATTGTAAAAAAAAACACAACAGTTTTTTCCTCAATTATTTGATAATACAGTATCGAAGTGAAACAGCATACCGCAAATGATATGGTGATATATAATGGCATATATTCGAAGAAGGGACAGAGAGGGTTGTGTCTAACGACTCCTTGAGAGTCACATTAACGACTACCAAGCAAGTCCTCCTCTGCGTAATTCAGCCTTGACATGAATGAGGGTACATTAGACCTCCCTTCTATTCATACATCTGCGTACGTAGGAGGTGGAAGATGGTTGTAGAGAAAGTATCGTCGTTAGAGTATTAATGTTGAAGGAGGGGTGGGGGGGGGGGCACTGGCATACAGTCAAGTGTAATCAGAATTAACAATTCAGACCGTCTGGTTCGTTAGGCTCGAAGGTATGGGATATGGTGGAGGATTTTGACATTAAAGGGTCTCCGTGGCGGCCATCACCCCGAAGCTTTCCGGTGAGACGTCACTGAACTCTGAGACATAGCTTTTGAGTGGACGAAGACGGTGGTGTGGGTGGAGCGGAGGCATCTGTGAATGGTGAATGAAATGTTGGTGCATCTAGCGGATTCTTTTATGCTTTCACTGAAATGGTCAGTGGTCCTTGCAGATGCTGGGGACGATGTCGAAACCAAAGGATCAAAGCTTGCTTCCTTGGAATAGGACGGGACTATTTCCCTTTCATTATTGAATCATTGGCTCGACTGTTCAAGGATATGGTAAAGTGTTTTGGCTTTGAAGAGCTCTACAGATATCTACAGATACCAAGATAGTGGTGCTGGTGGAGTGGAGGCACCTGTGAATGGTGAATGAGCTGTTGATGCATCCTGTGATTCTCTTATGTTTCTGTTCAAATGTTCAGGGATTTTTAGAGATTTTACGACATCTCAAGTTAAACATGCTTGCAGATTTGATTACACAAGTTCTTCTAAATTTCCACGTTACGTTGGACGCATCTCAATTTCAAAATACCAAAACTCCCTTTTCTTTCAACAGACAGGTATCATAACTCTTTTATTATTCTAGTACTGATGCACATTAAATAATTGACACCGCTGTCCAAGTTTTACGAGTGAATGAGATGCTGGTGCATCTGGCGGATTCTTTTACGCTTTTATTCAAATGGGCAGTGATGCTTGGATACAGGAGATACTGAGGACGAAGCCGAAGCCAAAGGATCAAAGTTGTTGAATACTGAATGGTGTTGATGAATATTTTGATTCTCTCATCTTCAACTAAAGAACAAGTTTATAATCATTGCATTACATGATACGCATCCGATCATATTAAATATACCTACAAAGTTGATTACATGAGTTCTTCTTGTGAATTTCCAACCTATGTTGGATGCATCTCAACTCCAAAATCCCAAAACTCCCATTTGCCTCAGCAGAAAGGTATCATCACCCTTCTATTATTCCAGTACAAATGGCCCGAAAATTGCGAGCAACTTTCATGAAACAATTCCTCTCCATTGAATAATTGACACAGCTGTCCAAGTTTTACGAGTGAACCCTGTGCCCCTAAAATATTCAACGAGTTAGCGCTGACGCCCGGCAAATTGCTAAATGCTGCAGTACCCAGTGAGAACACCCATGTGTTACAGTGTTTAACTTTTGTCTATGAAAACTGGAATTAAATTCTGCAGCCCATAGTGTATGAGAATTCACCGTTATATCACGTGTAGTTATACACAATCTGATTGTGGCTTCTTATAGCTACCTCTTGTTTTATAATAATTATATTCTCCTGTACCCTGACAGACCACCTCGGGTCCATCACCAACGACATTCTATCTTCGTTTAACACCTGACTTGGCAACATTTTCAGTGACATATATCAGGAAGTGTAGATAGCATTTACAGTGCCGAGCGAGGCACTATAATTGCAGAGCGATGAGTATAACCCATACACTCGTGGAATCACCCAGTAGATGCACAAAAGCAGAGTGAAGAATGAGATATGAAGTGGTGTGTGAAATGAGTCAGTGAATACTGCGGGTAGATACCAACTTGTGAGCCTTCATTAAGCTTGTTTATTACATCAGTCTCGCTCTGACCCTGCAGACGTTTTTCCATACACACCGGGGCCTCGTCATTATAATAATAAATAATTAACTCTAGTTTGTAAATAATTAAGCCTCATGCACGGTTATTTTTTTGCCCCTGACCACCACACTCGAACGAACTCGCCTATTATTTATTTTTCCTTGCAGTGCGTACTAGTGCTTTTTTTTACGGTCAAGGAGATTATTCTGATTTTTTTATTGGATTAATTAAACGAATCATCAGGGGTTATTGCTTTGTGTTTACGTTTTGTAAATAGATTTTCATTCAAATCCCTTCTTCGCTGTTAATGTCAAACGTTATCGAAATAAATAATACCGTATTTTAAGATTTTAAAATAAAAGTCTCGAAGTTAACTTTTAAAAGTCTTAATTTGAGAAATTTGAAAATCTCAATTTGAAACTTCCACAAGTCTCAATTTGAAATCATAAGACTCAAAATGAAAGTCGTTTTTTTGGATGATACTGTAAAAACTAGTGTCTTTAAGGCGTTTTAATTCATGATATAAATCCTTAGACTTAGTGATGACTGAAATTTCGAATGTCTTAAAATAGGAGATTCTAAAAACAAGACTTGTTTATAATAATGTCTTGGTGTCACCAAATTCAGGACTTGTTTCTTTCTGAATTTATAATACTTAAAAACTATTCAGTCGCTAGTCATTTATGACGGCGCTACTACGATAAAACATCAGCCCCATTAAGACTTGAAATTAGAAGATTGTAAAACATTCAATATTTTTCTAAGAAAAAATACTTTCCATCAGTAGTTTCAATCACAAAATTGTTTTACTTTTGATTGTCGACTCCTGTCAAATTCTCCTCCACAACTCCTAATCAAACTAATTAAAATAATATAACAATAAAAATAGTGATGAAATAAAAATAGTCAAAATCTCTAGTTTGTTTCGTGGAATATGATCGACGACTAATAAAAAATTAATAAAGTATTTTAAAAAACGAAGAGAAAGTCTGGAATACATGTCTTGATGTCTTAATTTCAGACAATAATTATTTTAGCGGATCAACTGCATGAACTGGTTGCAACTTTTGCTTCCTCCCACGCCGTAAACAATTCTCAACCCAACAATTACTTTTTTTCATTCAACACAGCCCGTCAAAAGTAAAAAAAAAATTAATTCCCTTAATGCATCATCCCCTGACCGTAAAATAGATGAAATGAAATGTTTTTTCATTTTTCCGGAAATCTGTTAATCTGTTAAACAACCTCAAAGTGATGAGCGTTGGAGGCTACCCCGGGGGGATTTTCTCGTGGAAACTATGAAAGTGCCTTGAGGAACCAGTCAGGACCCCCGCGGGACTATCACGAAGATTACGTAGGCGACGACGACGCGAGACCTGGAAACCGGCGGAAGAGATATCTTGACGGCAAACTAGACACAGGAACCGGGGGGAGGTGGGGTGGGGGGGGGGCGAAATGGGAACAGGGATGGAAGGTGGACGTGTGACTGCAGATGATCCCTCCGCGACTGAGATAGGGTGAACTGCCCATATGCGGAACACTACCCAAGAACGGAACATTTCTCAGATTTTACGAGATTTCTCAAATTTCGGCCAAGCTATCGATTTGATTTTTTTTTCTAAATTAAGTTTATATCCCTCCTCATGACGTCATCACAAATCTGATCGGCTATCGATTACCTCCTCCTGAATATTGGAGAAAAATCCTAGCAGCAGCCAGTTTGCGGCGATTGATAGTTACGCGTGCCATTTGACGGGTTTTTTTTGAAGCGATGTTTTTTAGATTTTAAATCACAAAATGCGGTAAGTTGTGATTGATATTGATATAAAATCCTTCATTCTTCAATATTTCCATATCAATTTCATCAGAAAAATGCTATTGTATTGAATATATGGGGGTTCCGTCTTTAGGGTTAGTTTTCCACGCAATTCCAAACGAACGGAACACTCATACGGGTGGATACCTATGTCAAGTGGGAATACGGTGATACTGTGGAAAGTGTATTGGCGGTTAATGAACTAATAATTTAATGAAGTTAATCGGAATCNCCGTCTTTAGGGTTAGTTTTCAACGCAATTCCAAACGAACGGAACACTCATACGGGTGGATACCTATGTCAAGTGGGAATACGGTGATACTGTGGAAAGTGTATTGGCGGTTAATGAACTAATAATTTAATGAAGTTAATCGGAATCGTATCCCTAAATTAGTTTATTTTCTTCATTTTTTCGCGTAGATGGCTTCAAAAGGTAAAAACACACGAAAAATACACGAAGAGGAGGGAGAACAATCAGCCAAGGCAGAAGAGGTTAGG